CCCCAGGCCATGTCAGTGACTCCTGGGAGAACTGCTGGCTCCTGGGGGTGTCTTTTTGCTCCCCTGGCATTTCCCTGCCTTAGGAAAAGCCCCTGTGCTCCAAGATCTGCCGCTCTGTTGTGGATCAGGCCGGCTCTGGAGCAGCACCCCTCCGCGACAGAAGTAACGACTTACATCATGCAACCAGCAAGAATTTCCCCTTAAGTCTCAAAGTACAAACTGCCACTGTCTTGAGCCTCGCATGAGAGAATGCCTTATTTATTATATTATTCTAATATTCTAATTTACAGTATCACTCTGTATTTGCCTTATTCTTTATTAAGTTCAGTGGACTCTGCTTTACCCTGTCAAAGAGTATAAAAGAAATCTGAAAGAAGAAAGGAAAATAACTTCCAGCTCAAAGATATTGTACTGCAGTTGCACAGTGAGATTGTGGGACCACAATTCAGAAGTGAGGGACTTAATTTCAGAGGAAAGAGATTTGTGTCCTGCTTTGTGCCTGGAAAGAAATGTCTAGTGCTATTAGTTGTTTTAGAGACTACACGGTAACTATCAAAATAGATCTAAATTTCTAGATTAGCTTTAAAACCCTGCAGAACAATTCTCATAAGTGCAAATGTCAGGAAATAGGTATGAAAATTCGTCTGGGATAGCACTAAACTGCAGAAACAACATGATCACATTTCATTGGAAAATGTAGAATTTGAAGGCAAAAGAACATACCTTAGGCAGTGGTTTCTTCACAGCACAATTTATACCTCCTATAAAGACCATATTGGGCATCACTGGTCTGACATACTCAAACACAAAGTCAAATCTCAGAAGCCAAACAGAAGCAGAGTTCAGAAGGTCTATCAGGGTTACATCTCTCTGAAGAACTTCAGAAGAAAGCTTTAATACATCTTTGTAGAAACCATTACAATACTCAAGCTCCAAGAGTGAAATCAGTGCATTTTCCACTCTCTGGAAAAATGTCATGCGGTCTGAGTTGAAGGAGAATAGTCTCGGGATGTAGGACAGAGGGTTTGGGCACTGTGGTGCTTCATAGTGTAAGCTGCAAGGAAACCCTCTCATGAAGAACACAAATGGAAGGGAAAAGTAATTCGCAACTATTGCTCCGCACATAAAAATAGGGTCTGTGAGGATGGCATCAAAGCGGCTTTGATTCACGTACTGCAGGGTCTCCTTGTGATTGAACAGGTCCTTGCACTGACCAAAGAACTTACTGAAAACGTTCACAGAGCTGTTGTATATTGCTAGAGTGTTCAGTGGGAAAGGCAGGTCCTTCAGGTGCAGGGCGACATACTCTTGAAATGCATTATCCAGCTCTTCTAATGTGCTGGTCACTGGGTATGTTTTCAGTGTATATATTGGCCGTCTTGTTCTCATCTGCCAGGTTACTTCTGGTAGAAGCACCACCACTTCGTGTCCTCTCTCGGCGAGCTTTTCAACCACTTCTTGCATGCTAAGCCAGTGGCTTCCTAGCATGGGCACCACCAGGAGTTTCCCCCCATCTGAGAGGCCAGGAAGGAGAAGGATAAAAATCCAGGCACAGGCACAGCAAAGCCTCGAAGTCATGTTTACGTGGTCAGAAATGTGAAATCAGTCAGGACTGTGAAAGTCTTCTTCAGACAGTAGCTTAGAAGATACTTCTGAAGGAAGCTGATCAATTTATCTGTTGAGCTGTTCTGCTTTTTCATCAGCTTCTAGTTAATGATTTACTGCTCTGGGTTGTGGGTTGGGCTTGGGTGTTTTTTCTCATTACTCGTGAAGCCAGATTACTTGTAAACCCTTTCCTGTGCTGAGTCATTGTGAGTTCCTCAGTGCTCAATGGAGAACCAGCTCCTCAACATGCTGGTCAGATTTCTTAGGATTTCTCTCTTGATCATTGATTACTGTGTCCTGTCTTACTCCTTGGCCAGGACCAAGGAAAGCAAGTCTGGTATGAACACCACCAACACCACAGTAACAAACTAAAACAGCCTCAGCAAATTTCATTGTGATTGGAAACATGGATGTTCAGATAGTTTCTCTGAGGACAGAACAGGAGACCCTCAGGGTAAGTGGAAAGGGCAGATGAACCAACTCTTCTGAGCTAGTAGGAATCCCCACAGTCTGCAATGAAACCAAGAAGAGACACCGAGAGGCTGATCTGGCAGCTGAGGGGGAGACCTGTGAAGCTGAAGCCCAGGTTCTTGCTTCAGAGCAGTAATGCAGTTGTGTCACAGCCTATGAGATGGGCCCTCAGCTGAAAACTCCTCACCACCTGCCTGTACATCAAGTAGAGGCCAGACACAGGACATGTGCTAAATGTGTTTTAAGGACCACTGCTCCCTGCAGGGCTTGAACTGCTCAGTGGAGTCTCAGGTGTGAGCCCAGGAACCAAACCTGCCTTAGCTAATGAGCAGCTTCAGCACAAGGGTGGGTTTGCAAGAGCCATCAGCCTCCCAGCATTGCTTCTGCAACGCATGTTTT